AGGAATATATCAGTTGATTAAGTAATATGGATTATCCTAATAGAAATTTATTGAGTAAATCGGATTGAATATTGAGCTGATTAATTTACTCGGCTTATTTGAAATTTAGAGTAACATGAAGGCGATTATTTTTTTGCGTAAAAATAACATTTTTTAATGAGAATTTTCAAATTAAGAAAAAAGAAAATTATTGCTTCATTTTTTTCATTAAAAAAAAATCAAAATTCTTTTTTGATTTATTATATAATTGTTTATACGAGAATAACAAATTCTCGTGTGATACTTTCTTTTTATTACTGTACAACCTTATGATGAGATAACTTTTCAATGTCAACTTTGAAATTTCTCACGTACTGGGTGGCCCAAGAGTGTAACATGACAAATAATTTTTTTCGATTTTTTTTTTCTTCATACATTAACAATTACGTCTCATATTTAGACCACATATAATAGGCGATATTAATCAAAGATGTAGCATATGATAAGTTTCTGTGTATAGTAATTTGTTTCAAAACATATAAATATATCTTAATTGCTCTTATATGACTATATGAAGAACTCGATTCGATCAGATTTTGAACTTCTTTAAATTAAAAGAATATGAAATTCAATTGAATCGAATTTGTTTTCTCAGATTGGAATAAGCAAATAAGAATATGAAAATCGAATGTAACACGACAAACATCAAATTTCTCATATAGTCACAAAGAGCAATTAAGACATATTTATATACTTCGAAACAAATTACGCCCGGAAGGTGATCAAAGACCATATCTCTGACTAGTATCAAATATTATATTGTGGTCTAAATATAAGATGTAACTGTCGATATATAAAGAAAAAAAAAACTCGAAAAAAATTATTTATACTGTTATTTTTGGTCCACTCTGTATGTTTTATTTACAAGAAAAATAAACAGAAGTTCAAACAAAACAATTTGTAAAATTAAAAATTGATTATTCATATTAATGATTATCATTAGTGTTTCTCATGGTTATTTTCTAGAAAATTTATTACAAAATAAACATCGAAGATAATCATTTCATAGGTAAAATCAGTAAATACCGTGACTTAAAATCAAAAATTTAACTCATCTATATAATTGGCTATAATCATCGAAAGTAAGAAACTAATGTGCAATTATATATATTTTAGTTTTTCTTCCATAGCGTTTTTTTTTCATAGCGTGAGTAGATATAGAAAATCTTAGTATTTATAGGTGTTATTTTTGTTTAATGTCTTTAAATATTTATTATTTCAATATTATAGAATGAGCAACACTTGCATAATTCTCGTCATATTTTTTGCATTGGCTTCATGTATGTTATCATCTTATCTTGATATACCACCGCCACCTGAACGGCCATTACGTTTTAAAACCAAAGAACAAATTGAACATTATCTTAAAGCTGTAAAAGATTATTATGATGCATTTAAAATTAAACTTGTCCGTCGACAAGATGCTTTTAATGATGTCTATTCAAATATGGATAAATCAATAAATGATGAAGAATTAAATGATCAATATTATTTATTGGAAAAATTATCTAATACTTACAAGCAAAATCAACCATCAAGAAATTTACTTAGAGGACGACCAAGAAAAAGTGTTTTTTAATATTAGAAAAAAAAAAATGTTAATTCTATTTAATATTGTTCATTATTAGCAGAGAAAAAAAAACATATTTCTTGACAATAATTAATCACTAACCGAAATGTGTCTCGTATACTCTTTTTTTTGGTTTGTTTGTTTGTCGGACACGCATTTCTTTGAAAACAAAAAAAATAATTGATTGTCATGTATTACATCGGATTGTACGCAATTAATAAAATCCATATTCCCTCCCAATAATATATTTTCATTTTTCTATTGAACAAGAAAACAAAATATCAACATATGTTCATGGAATTTATTTGATAGTAATCTTAAATTATTCAAATTTTAGTTACATTACAAAATGCTGATTTTTGTTAGGAGAAAACAACATGAGTTTTTTTTTTCCATTGAAATGAAAAGAAAATCTTTATAAATAACGATTGCATTCATGAAAGAATTAACGAAATGATTGATATGTAGTTTCAATTTCTTTATCTTGAATTATATATCTATAAAATCATGGAAATGTTTAGGATCACATAGTTTCGATACACGAAGTTTATTTTCAAGATTGTCTCTTACTTACCCATTTTGTTTTTTTTCTTCAATCAAAAATTGTTTTATCTGTAGTTCAATGTACTCATATATTTATCATATTGAATGTGATTGAATATAATTCAATTTTCTAGAAGATATTTATCTGATGAGAGAACATTTTCTTATTTCGATCTATAGCACTTCTATATATTTATTTTATCAATAAAGCTTATTAGCATGGTAATCGTTTTTACCTATTTTTGGACATTATATTCATGGATTATATGTTGAATTATGACTCTTTTCATTCATATATGAATTTAATTAATTATGAAAAAGCAATAAATAGAAGCGACGCAAATAGTCGTAATATAGAATTACTTGCATGTTTGATAGAAAAATGATTCCTATTCTACTTCCCATAAACGTCAATTTGTAGACATGTAATTCAGTCATATATAACTTCGCGTGAGGATAGGCATGGCATGTAAAAAATGAATGTTTACTTTATGGAATGTATACATAGATGATCTTATTTAGTAAACAGTAATAAAATGTTGATATTTATATTTTGAATTTTTATCGACATGTTTAAAAAAAAAAAGATGAAAAACTATATGCATTGTCGAATAGTAAAAACATCATTGTAGACAGAAGTCCCAAAATAAGAAAACATAGAATTATGAAAAATTCTTAAAGTAACTATGACTTTCGTGTTAGACTTCATGCTCAATTAGAAGGATTCATTAATTATTTCTATATATACTTGTATCTAATGTTTCTTGTCCTTGAATAGATTGTTAGTTAGTTTCTGAATCACTCTGACGACGAAACGCCTCTAGATATCAAATTACTTTTTGACTACGATGATGTTTATTGAATGAGTGCTAGTGAGTAATACAAAAGTCTAGAATAGTTTAGTTTTCTGAACTTTTTTTGAAACATGAAAATTTTATTGGATTAGATGTGGTAGCTTTCAGGTCACGTGAACAATTGACTTTCGACTTCAAGCTTAGCACAAACAAAATTCTTAATGAAATTAATTCATTATGCAAATTTTTATTTTTCTGGTATTTCCCTATTGGATATGTAAATATATGAACGAAATTTACCACTGACACATAAGAGAATTTCGAATATTGAATATCTCAGGATAGGAGATGCTAGAAAAATTACAACTTGTCCAATGAACTAATCAAAATCCAGTACAATATCAACATCTCAACAATAAAGGCTTGAAAAGCCAAAAGATTCTAGACTGTTCTATCATTCTCTAATACTCATCAAATGAACATCGTGGTCTCGGTCGAAAAACAATTTGACATCTGGAGAAGTTCCTTCATGAATTATTTCTGCGTAATACTACAGAAAATTTTTGGATGACGGACATTTCGTACTAAGTCATTCCGAACTCCTGTCATGTGTTCGGAAATGATTTTTGTCCTGGACAACGTTCATTACGAACATCCTGTTTTTTTTTTTTATTTTTAATTAATTTTTGCATTCCGGACTCCCGTACACATAATTACGAATACTCTGTCTTTTTTTCTTTATGTTCGAAGATAGTAACGAACTCCGCCGCCGGGAGATCGTAGTGAAAAATTGGTGTGAAATGTCCCTTTCCCAAATTTTTTTATCGATTTTATTTTTGTAATATTGCAATCAATTGACATAGACTCAATAATAACTACACATAAACTTAAATAGTCCATCAATCTTTGTTCGAATATATGAATAAAATTGATTTTTATTATGTTAATTAACAAAATAATGATAATATCAATAGACAACAAACTATCAAAAAAATAATATGAAGAACATACATGACACACAATAGATAGTATTCTTATATAAGTACAAAAAAGAAGATTATAAAAAGAAAGAAAATATTTTTAATCATTTTTCTTTTCATCTGTAAATTCTTGTTGATTATCTTTTTCTTCATTGGTAAATTTAGTTGATTGCTCATTTCTCGAACGTTTTTCTTGTGCACAAATAATTAGACGTGTGAATAAAAGTAAACCAAAAATAATTCCAGGTGCCATACGATCAAGTTTATCATGTAAAGCATAATGTGTATAAACAGCACCTAACATTAACATTAAAAGTACACTATTCGCCAATTGTTTCAGTCGTCCTTTTTAAACAAAAAAAAAAACAAGTTTCTATAAATTAAATCAAGACGATTATAAAGTTTTTACTACAGAGCGGAATATACAATATTGTGAAGAATTATAGAATTATCTGTATTTCATTTTAAATTCAAATACAAATAATTTTTCAAACTTTCTTTTTTATGAAAATATTCAAAAAGAATTTTTCTATCTGCTGTATATATGACTTTCAAACAAAACTCAAGTTATCTTGATGCAAAAATAACGAAACTACAATATTGATTCTAAGATTTTTCACAACACTGTGTATGCTATTTTGTAGTAAAACCTTTTATAGTTGTGTTTAAATAAAAAAATCAATTAACCTGGTCCAACAACTAAAATAATTCCACAAATAATTTCAATAATACCAATAGTCATTCGATAATTTTTAGCATATGGACGCCAACCAGTTATTTTATACAATGGAAATACTTTATTAATACGTCCAAATTCATGTCTCTTTTTATATAAAATAAAATGAATATGATTTATAAAAAAAAAAAACATCGATCTTTACCATATCTTCATGTATATCAGGAAAAAATTTCGATGTAACTTTAAATTGACCAATAAGAATAAAAAATATACCAATAGTAAGTGTAATAACGAATAAAGCTACTGAACTCATGATCTACAAAAAACAACAACAACAAATCCTACATAAATTATCATTATTAGGAAAAAATTACTACAAAAAAAAAATGCACTATCTAACATTCATTATCATGACAATTAGCTAAAGAAATTATTGATTCTTGAGATTCAAATTTAAGTGTTGTATATGTTTGTGTATCAAAATCATAATCAACTGTATCCGATGAAGAATCTGACATTATACAATCATGATCATTTTCTATAGATGATAATTCCATAAGTTGTTGATCAATAGTAATAGGTTCAATATCAGATGATAAAACATTAGAAATAACAATATCATTAATTGATTTATCTTCAATTGATAATGAACAAGATGAATCTTCTAATGTTGATTCAATAGAAATAATTTGATTTGATGAAAAACTTTCATTTGAAGTTGATTCTTCACATGATATATTGCTTTTTTGATCATTATGCGAAATATTTTTTTTATCTTTTATTATTGGTGGTATATCCAAAGAAATAGCTAAAAATTTAAAATCAATTATTAAAAATCTTAATTATTTCAGATTATCTTCCGAATCAAAAGATAGAAAAGAAAGGAAGGGGGGGGGGGGGTGGTTATTTTGTGAATAGATTGGCCTAGAGAGCTGCGATTTTCACCATTGAAAAGAGGAGATAAAGACGTATGGAACCGTATATGAAAAGATTTTTGACTACTTTCCTAAGAGTTTTACATAAAGTTTCTAGAAAAACAGCATACCTCTCATAGTCGTGATATTAATTTATTGATTTTCAGAAGTGTACTAGAACCACCAAATGAAGAGCTACAGACCTATGTAAAGACTCTATTCCTAACTACTACTAATAAGATATTTTCGCTATTGGGATACAATTTATCACCCCATCTTTTCAACAAAATAATCGAACAATGGAAGTTTTTGTAGTGTTTTGATGAAAAACGTTTTTTTTTAACATATGAGAAAAAAGCAATTTTTTGAAAACTTTTGATTAAAACTCTTAGGAAAGTAGTGAAAAAAATATCTTTTCATATATGGTTCGATACATCTCTATCTCCTCTTTTCAATGGTGAAAACCACAGCTCTCTAGATCAATCCATTCAAAAAAAAATACCCATCTGCCTTCTTTTTTGCAATAGACATTAGTAATGTATAACTGTTAGCATCATTTGGGTTTTTCATAGGACAAAATACAGTGTAAAAAAGTATAGAATAATAAACCCTTTGTCTGGTGATTTATTTTCAAATAAAACTGCTAAAAAAACGTAATCGATTTGAAATGTAACGAGATCCCTTCACGTTGATTCATACTGAAAGAAACGACTGCATAGATGAGCTTTGTTTTTACTAATCCCTTCTGTTGTATGATACTTATCTCATTCCATTAATATCTTTTACAGATATATTTCGTTCTATTTACAAGATTGTCTTAGTAAGAAAAAAAAAAAGGTCTTTTGTACATACATCGAAAAAACTTTTTTGAATGATTTGTTTGTATTTGTTTACAAATTGATTCATTTACAGAATTGATTCGTTGTAAAAGATTTTGTTCTTTTTCATCATCAATTCCAAAATCTAATTCTTCATCATTAGCTTTTCTTTGTTGTTGTTCTTTAAATAATTTTCTTCGACGTTTTCGTTGAATTTTTGTTTCAAATAATTCATAACGATGTTTAAGTTGTATTTGTTGATTAAGAGATTTTCGTTGAATTTTTTCATTTAATTTTTTCATTGTTATCATTGATATTTTATTCGATTGATCTTTTATAAAATAATCAATTATTTGAAATAAACGTTTTGTTGTCAATAATGATGCCAATGGTACAGCTATTGGTGTAACACATTTTGGTTTTAAAGTTTTTAATACATCAATTATTTCAGAAAATGATGAATGTAATGAATAACATAAACGATAATTTAAATATGTATCTTGAAATGTTATATCAGTATTTTCATTTCCATAATCTTGATAACCAATACAACGTTTTGATAAATTTTGATCAAAATTTGAATGATATTCATGATATTCAACTAATAATTCACCTTAACAAACAAAAAATGTTTATTATCGATAGTACGAAAAGGATTTTAGTAAAATACGCTCTCAGATCTAATAGACTCAGAATTTCAAGTTCTATCGACTAGCATATGACCTGAATAAAACAGTGTTTCGAATGGTATATATTCATATGAATAGAACTTCTGCAAAAAAAGTCATTTTCCCTGATTTTACTCATATATCATATTATAACAATAAATAGAAAATGAAATTTACTAGCAGATATTTGTTCTGTAAACCACATAATTGATAAAAATATACGAATAGGTTTATCACAATTTCGAAATAATGAACATGGTTGTGTATAATTTGATGATGCTGTACGACATGCATGTAAACGTGTTATTGTTGGATCTGTTGTTAAACATTCTTGTATAATTGGTAAACATGCAAAAAATTCATATTGACTTTGTTCAACATGTACACGCATACCTAAATTATCATATAAAGCTCGAAAAATTTGTTCATAACCAACACGAGCACTAGAAGAAAAAGAAACAAACAAAAAAAATTTTTTTTGTTACTTGAAATAAATAATTTAAGTTGATTTTTTTGTTTTTTATAATACCTTTGTTTAAAATGAAAATTTACATTTGATTTATCAGATAATAAAGTTTTTATCCATAAAATAAGTGCTTGACAACTTATTTCACGTGTTGGTATATGTAAAATTTCTGGACGAAAAAATGTCATATCCATATAAAGATTATCAATTGGTTTAAATATATAATTATCATCATTATCTGTTCGTCGTCGATGTAAATGTATTAAACGTTTAGCTTGACCATGATAAAGACGAAAATCACCTGTAAATAAAACATTACCATGTTCACCTTCAATCCATATCATAATTGAACCAGGACAATGACCTGAACCAAAACAAGTTACAACAACTATTTCACCAACATTTGGTGTATGTGATGATAATGTATTTTTTAAACTTTCAATATCTAAAAATTATAATTCTATATAGAAAATAAATAAAATAAAATATTATTTTGTTTATTTTTTAACCTCCTCCTTCTTTTTTCTTTGCTTGTACAGGATCATTCGATTGAATTGTTAATGTAAATGGTTGATCAATTGGAACTGATTTAAAATATGGTATTAAATGACGATATAGAGCCATTGTACTTAATAATTGTTTTGAAATATCAGACATATATATTGGAGCATTGATTTTTGCAACATATTTACCAAATTCTGGTCGTTCAAGACCAACAAGATGATCCATATGAATATGTGTTATAAAAAACATTGTACTTGTATAATTATAACTTTCAAATGAATCAATTGATATAAGAGGATATTCTTCTAATATACCATGATAAGCACTCATCTTTGAAATCTAGAGAATTTATTAACATTTGTATGTCATATAAACAATAATGTTCTATCATAAAAGTATTATAGCAATGAATATTATTTCGAATATAAATAAAAATTAACAACAAAACAAAATTTTATTTAGAATTCGAATACAAATGAAATAATATCAAGATATAAATCCTTTCGTTTTATTCTATCAAACAAAGTTAATTGTATATATGATTCTTTTCCAGATCTGGATCCTAAGTTTTATTTTTTGTTGGACCCAGTTACACCTTTTTGTGATCCGCTGCTCTTCAGATGAGAAATACAGCAACAAGATATAACTGTACATTGAGTTTTTTTCTGAGAGTAGCGAATAAATAGCTAAAAACCTTGAGTTTGGACTCGGATCTACAAAAACCTGGACCCGCAATTCCGTGCACTCATTGATGTGGACGTAGAAAAGACTCGTATCCACACCCTTTCTTCTTGCAAATAATCAATAGAAAATATCCACATAAGAAAAATGCTAATACGAATATGCGCAGGGTGGGCTAAATGAACTGATTTTTTTTATTGCTGATAGAGGAATGTTTATGGATCATATCCATAAGAAAATATTAAAACTACCCTTGGCTTCAATAAATATTGTAACTTTAAATGAGCTTATGAAAATTGTATTGTAGTGTTCTCAATAAATCCTAGCTACTTATGAGTGAAACTTTCAGAGTGCATGCAATATAAATTTGAGACTCAATAGCAATAGTTTGAAGAATTAATAAAAAAAAAATGATATATATTGTTAATTTTTTTTTATGGATATAATTCATGAACACTCCTCTATCAGCGATAGAAAAATTCAATTCATTTGCTTCAAAGATGATGGAAATATTCAAATTGTTCTTCGATAAAGCCACTTTTGGTTCATTAAGTATTTTTAATGTAATCAGCCGACAGTAGTAAATCGTGTCACTGATCTGGAGAAGTATCGTGTGTGTGTGTATAATTATTTGTTTTTTGTAATATCTAACTTATTAAAATTGAACTTCATATTTGAATATTGAGTATGAATATTATTTACACCAATCAAAAAAGAGATTAATAATGTTGCACATTGTTTAACAAAGTGAGCTGTTCAGACATATCAAACAAAGAACCAATCTTATGATTTGACATTTAAATTAATTAATTGATATTAAAATCGTTGAAGACCCTTTAATTTTATTTGAATACTAATGATGACAATTTAAAAAAAAATAGATATATTGTCCTACATGAATGCAAGATAAAAAAAAAACAGATATTGATTAGCGCCATCTCGTAAATGTTTTACACTTGAATGAACAAAAGAAAAACAGATGTGAAGAAGATAGATCAAACGAAATTGTAATTGTACAAACAGAAAACGACTAGAGTGACAAAATAATGATCTGTTGATAAAAGAAAATGAACAATAAAATAAATTGATTTTGAGAGAAGATTTTTAGTCAAAAGACGAATGAGCACAAATAGAGTTTTGAAAAGATCACATTGAATTCAACATTTTGAAATAAAATAAAAAAAACCAAACAAACAAACAAACTAATCACAAACTGTTTATTTTAATGAAGAAGATCGTCAGTTGATTTTTTTGATGAATCAGTATTCGATGATGATAAAGAAGCGTTGTCAATTGGCAATGCAATAACTTGATTATCAGTACCAATTGATGGACTATCTATATTTATATTTATATTTGGTTGAGCAGGTCTTAATCGTTGTTTAACAGATTCTGTGAAAAAAAAAGAAAAATTCAGTATAAAAATTTCTTTTTCTTTCTAAAACAAAGTATCAAGAACTAAAAAGTGTTCAAAGCAAACATTGATAAAAAACAAACTATCTTATTTTAACAAGTTTTTAAAATGAGAGTCTTGAGAATGATTTTAAATTTTCAGAATAGAAATAGTCAATAATATTTTGCAAATTAGCAAATAATAAAGACATGCATGATTATTATCGGTTATACTAGAATGAATTCGTAGATAAGAATTTATTAGGTTGAATCCATCGGATAATTCATACTAGATCCTTTCGAGAGAATGATTAGTTTTCTTGAAATCTGAATAGTAAAAACGATGCTAGGTCTTCTATTTTTACCGCTTAGGAAAAAGATTGATATATTCACTTTCATGCAGCTAACAGTGATACGATTCCAATGGTTGGTAGTTAAAAAGACGATTGATTCTCTTCAGTTCTATATAACAAGAATGTATTTCGGAGAAATATGTCAATAGGGAAAACGTTTTTCGCTATATTAATCCTATTCAGATATTTTAACGATTTTATAGAATTCACATTATGTTTTTTGAAGAACAATATCGTGAGTGTAAGTTTTAAGTCACAGTTTTGCGGCTCTCTCTTTTCATAACAATGGGAGGAGGTCAACAATCATTAGATACGTTTCCATACGAAACGAGGACAGCAGATGTTAGACTTCTTTCTCAGAGTTTCTTAGCAACGGAAAAAGGCGTTGAACGGTATTAACGTCAAATAGTGAAGTATTTAATTTTTATGCAAACAAAAAATTTAAATTCTAGATGTCAATGTCGATGGCTATGATTTGTCACAGTCGTCAAGTGATCAACACAAAAAGCGTGAACTAATCAAGCTATAAGTTAATATCAGTGTTTCTATGCTTACCGATATACATAATAGGTGCATTGAGATCTACTGTAAATATATTATGTGCAATAGGCTTACGACGAAACTATCCGAACTGTTACCCACCACTTGAGCTCATGTAAGGTTCACAAGGGTATCTTGGTAAGACTAGACAAATACTGAAAGAGTCCGTACTCATGACTATTTTACTGAATTTTCGATCTGAAATTTTGCTCCATAAACAGATCGAATGACCAGTAGAATATCCTGAGAGTTTCAGTTGAAAAGAATGGACCATTTTCTAGTCTTACCGAGGCCGCATTGTGAATCCAAAAAAAAGTAATCTACTAATATTCCTAAACCATATCTTTTCCTGAATGTATAAAAAAATATTTTTCTATTATATTAGCAAATGTTAATTCCACAGCATCAATGCATTCAACATGCTTTAGGTATGGATAAGGAAAAAAATTGCTTTGATTATTATCATCACCTGATTTTTTTCTTTCTAAAAGTGGTAGATCGATTTGATCTTGTTCTTTCACTTCTAATCTATTATTTTCTGATTTTTTTCAATTTAAAGATATAAATATCAAAATTTAAAAAAAAAAAAAGTTTTATTTTTTTATTACCTTTTTTATAGAAATTTTTATGTGGAAGAAAGAAAAGTATTGAACTTGCAATAAATATATGCCATAAACTATGTATATACCAATAGTTTTTATCTGTTTCACAAAATGCAAATAAAATAAGTCCAGCAAATGCTAATAAAAAGCCTGGCATATATAATAGAAGACGTTTTGAAGATGGTTGTAAACGACGATATTTAATCGAAACAATAATCTAAATTTGATTTAAAAAATTAAAAAACAAAAAAAATAATCAAAAATCAAACAATCTAATTACCCAAGTTAAAATTGTAAAAATAAATGTAATACTAATTAACCAAATAAATTGTAAATGATCAAAACGATCACGTGAATTAATAACAATACATGTTAATATACCTAACATAAATAAAAATGCTTTTATTGTTCGTGGTATTATTGCCATAGTTATTAATGTAATAACAAATGATGCATATGAACCAATAAAATCTGATAATTGTAAACCATCATATTTAAATATACAAAATTTATTTATATCTTGATCACATGCATGATAAAACTAAAAGATCAAATAAACTTTCTTTCTTTCTTTTGTTTTTAATATTCAAAACTTACTGTTGAAAAAAACATATTGAAAAAATAGATAAGTGCTTCGATATATAAATGTCTATAGATAGCTAATATAATAGCTGGTAAAAACATTAAATTACTTATTGTTAAAAAAAGAACACTTGATAAATGTTTTGATGTATAAGCATGAGTATCATCAGTACAACCATATCCACGATAACCTAGAGACAAATTTATATATATATATATAATTGAATAGATTAATAAAATAAAAAACAAAAGAAGCAAATTATTATTTGTTACACATAAGCTAGAAGTAAAAGAGCATCGATGAGATTAAAAGATGAAGACGTATAAGTGGTCAAATCGGCTATTTCTAAGTACATTATTTCTCAAGATTGAATGATTTCAATCAGAAAGAAATTCACCTTTGAATGAAAACTAATCTAATATTCAGAATCAACGTAAAAAACTAAGTTAACTCTATATGTGATTTAAAGAATTACTGGAACTTTTTTTTCTACGTCGAAAAATTTATCCATGATCTCCATTAGAGATCAGACAAGAAATAAACTCAATGAAAAATCAGCTTTTATTTTCTAGATATCTACCATTTTGCTATCATACAACTTTCAAGATTTCTGACTAGAGGGTAAATTTTTCGATGAAAAGAAAAGTTCCAGAATTTTTTTGAATCATGCATAGATCAACTCAGCTTTTGATGCTAATTCTGAATATTATATTAGTTTTCATTAAAAGTGAATATTTTATGAACGACATTATTCAATCTTGAGAATAATGATGTCTACCAACACATAGAACTCATCACGTCTCGTTAAATTAAACATTCAATTGGTGATTTATATATATATATATATATGAGATTGAAGCTCCATCCAGGAACTACGAAATTCATAAATTCAGTGGTATTTGCTCTACTTTGTTGATAGCTTTTAGGTTTGAAAATTTAATTGAAGCTTCAGAATATTAGTATCAAAATGTTATTCTTGATATGCTCTTTCCATTGATATATATATATATATACGATTCAATGGAGTTGGTTAAGAAAGCCGATCGATTTGACCATTTATGTGCTCCTATCCTTTCATTTATATTAGGAAAAATTATATTTTTTGTTTTCTTTTTTTAGAATAGATTTGACACATTTATATTCATTTTTACAATTAAGTTTTAAGCAATAGAGCAATTT